GAACGGCCTCTAAAGCTTCGCGTTCTCTCCTATCCCGCGGATACATCTCACGCCTCCTAACGGAATATCCTGCCGTACCTGTGCTTTGCCTGCTTCCTCCCCGTATCTGTACCCTAGGTCATCCTACGGAAATTGGGTTAGACCTCGGGAATATTAGGAACCGCTGACTCTACCGGCGAATTCACCGCTGTGTGGAGATGTTCCACGTTGAGGAATATGACATCATGGATGTGTTTCGTTACTGCGACTGATTGTGAGGTATCACGTGGAATATTTACAGTGATCAATACAATAATACTAATAATATAGTATCGAATTATTTTTTTTTTTTTTTTTTTTTTTAAGTAATCTTGCATTCGAGATGTTTATTTTGCTTCAAAATTTTTCAAACGAAGGAAGATTTGACAAACAGGTAGCTTATTGTTATTGTAAATTATAACAGAAGATACGTGAATTATATAAGAATAAAAATGTTTATATATTTTTATCTTTTTAGTTCTAATTTATTTGCAATTTGCTTATAATTAATATGCGATGGGATAATGTGTAATAGGTATCTTTTTCATTTCTCTCGAATTACTTATTACTAATAGCGATTTTTTATAATTATTAATGACTTTCTATGATAAGCCATTACTTAAGACTTGGTGAAGCTGGAAAGATGATCCAACTTAATTAACGTCGATATAAATCTACTGCATCACTTCTTAACTTTGCGTCTTTAATCTTGTAAAAAGATTTTTTTTTTTTTTTTTCGTTCAGTCAATTCAGAGATATTTCTTTATACGACTGTAATGTCTCAATAATTCGATCACTCCAGCATTCCCTTAAGTCGTTAAAAATTGACCAATCACAGTCGAATGTGAGAGGAATAATTGATTGGGCAATTTCTTATGGCTTAAGATTTAAAGCTTAGGTAACGATTGTAGCAAGTCCATTATAAATATAGATTTTGTTAGATTTATCAAAGCTGGGTTAGTTTGGTAGTATTGAAGTTGGTTTTTATTTAACACATTATAATCAACAGTTCGTAAAACGATAAAATTTTCATAAATTGAGTTTCACAAATATAATACGAACGGATAGTTTTATTATTTGTTACTTTTGAAAGTCGTTTTTGTATATTTTAATAAATTAATGTAATATGACATCAACTTGAAAGGTATGTGATAAAAATTGAATACTCGTGACGTAAAACTCGTGATTTAAGTTTTCGAGTAATTTAAAAAATCGAGTTTTCTCTAAAGAACACGACTTTACTCTACATCATTCAATTTACAAAAAGAAAACTAGTAAGATTTTTGTAGAAATTTATAACTATCCTAATCTTTTTTATTCCAAAATTAAGTATTACGTTAATTTTGTTGCGAATGATGCATTTTTTCTAGAATTGTTCCGACAAATATCTTACAATTAGTGTTATCGGTTAATAATTGTAACAAAATTATCGGATGTCTAATTAATTACGGACATCACCTCCCACGAATTGATAGGAATTGCATTCATTTCTTTCTCCCTCTCGCCCGCCCGCATCGCGTAAACGCGCGGTCGTTCTCGTCTGCAATCGATTTCTATCACAGGGGTGAGCTTTAGAGTTGCGAGGAAAAATATTTACGCGGCGTAACCGGGATATTGTCGTCGGTAAACTGAGCGTCTCCCACTCGCGCTCTCTTGATAGAATCAACCTCGTAGAACAATATGTCCTTTATAATCGAATCAACACGTCTCTTACGTCGTCTATGGCGATCGATACGTTGCAATTTAAGCTTGGCCTGTAGAGAAAATTTTCAATTATTTTTGCCGGGGTGTCGCTCCAACGTGGTTTATCCAAAGGCGTGATCTTATCTATCGATATTATCATTTTATTAGATATTTCCTCGGGCTCTCTCTTTAATTAATTCAGATAACTATATAATCTATACTAAATTTACTCGATGTTACGTTTTCTTTTTCAGCATTGCTAAAACAAAATTTCTTTTGTAGACGATACACAGGTATATGCGTACGACACCCACGAATCAATACACCCTGGCGTATTTTTTTCGAGTGGGACACCCTATATTTATTCCAGGGATCACAGGGGTGTACGACCTAGTTACGCTTGGGCGTGTTATATGGGTCATAGACACCATTCGCACTTGGTTGCACGTGCGCGCGCACACACACACTCACGCGTGCTGACGGTGCACTGGTTCACGGGAGCAGTCGATTCACGAATGTGGGGCAAGAAGGTTTTCTCACATTGCTTTCACAGGTTTTCGTGATTAATGATTGAGCGGTTGCTTTGAGATACCATGCCATGAAGGGTTCTTTCTCGACTGGTAAAACTCAGAAATGAAGAATCTCGAAGACCAGTATTTGTATTCGATTCTTACTTTAAGACCGTCTTAAGTAATGTCGCAAAATTAATACGACTCTCTGATCGCTTTATGACATCTTGAGACAGTCGTTAAATGTAAGAATCGACTGTGAATATCGGTGAAAAATGGGTTTACTCTAGTTTTTTTTTTTTTTTTCGCAGTTAAATGCAAAATTTGCATGCAGAATGACGCTTGTAGTGTTTACGGATGAAATACAGAATCTATTTTAATCTCGCCTGTTGCGACTGTAGTGGAGGAAGGGCGGGAGGGAGGGAGGAAGAAAGAAAGAGCGAAAGGGGAGGGGGAGGAAGGGACGAAAAAGAGAGAAAGAGAAAGAAGCAGCGACAGTGACGTTCATCTCGCAACAAAAGCGGAGAATTTATCGATAGTCGGCGATTACCGTAGGGCATATGACAGGGCTTTAGCTCGAATGCTCGTCGATGGTCTGTGGACTTAAAACAAACACATACTTCCATATTGTAAACTACATTGCCCCCAGGCACTTTTAATATTTATCGGAAAGGTTTTAGCTGATCGTAGTATAAAAAAAATAGTTATCGCGCGTGATAAATCCAATTTGTTAGAACTCGATGTCGCCACGCGCTCGTTTCACTTGAAACGTTTGTCAAAACGATTAATATCGTTGGGGAAAAAGCTTCACTTTGTGCTTTCATGCGCGCGTATGAAACATATCGTTGTCTCGAACAGAGACGAAATTCTCGTTCTTTCCATGCAGGAAGTATAAATTCGCGTAATAAACGGTCATAATGTCCCGCAAAGCAGATATTTATATTTTGTTTAAATAGTTCCCATATAGGATTTAAATCGACTCGGGTTTCCCCTGATCAGCGGTTTCACAGCGTACACCGGGTACACATGGACCCGCGCACGCGTGCGCACTCGACCAATACATTATATATCTCTCCACCTTATCTCTTTATCCCTTTCTTATTTCCTTAACCAGTACCACTTATCTCCGTTCTCTGTGCTTTACCACCTTCTTCCGATTATTCTGATCACTCCTGTACATCATCTTCTCTTTGCATTTCTCTTTGTGACACCCTTTGGCAATGGCGTCTTCACCCCCTTATCGCTTATCGAGATTATCCATCTCCATCGCTCTCGTCAGCATTTTGCTTCCATCGAGAGAGAAAGCGTGAATCTCTCTCTCTCTCTCTTTCTTTTTTTCTCACTCACTCATTGCCTCCGCTACATTCTCGTTTCTTTCGACGTGCCAGACATCCCCTTGCCGCTCTTCCTCAATCGGGTAAGCCGCGCGCGCCGCGCACGTCTCTCTCAGTCTCTCGCGCAAAGCGATACCGTGGTGACGTGACGTTACGCTCGGCAAAGCTTTCAGCTGGTCCAGATCGCTTATAGTCATCGCCGAATTGTAACCACGCTCGTTTGCATCTTGTCGTTTCCATTCCAAATGATGTTCGCTTGCTCTTTCGTCGTCTATTTCCCTTTTGGCGACAATCGTACCTCAATTCCGTGAATCCCGTGAAATGCGCGCCACGACACAGTGAACACTAAAGAGAAACGTGTGACGGCACCAGATTCCGCGCGCGCAAGGAACGAGAGGAAGGAAAGGAGAGAGAGGAAGAGAAGCGTTCTGCTATTTTCGAGACGCCGCGAAGTCTTGCCAAAGTGTGCTTTCTTGGCCCTCAAAAATCGTAGCCGGAAGGTCGCGATAACTTGTATTTCCGCTCGACCGGGTCTCGGGATCGTCGATCGATCGCCGAGTAGCGCGATTTCAGTTTCCCGGGATATTCCTGGAGCGCGAATCAGTGATATAATATCTAGAGCTTGCTACCGACGTAAATTGTTATGTCAATGGTGTGTGGACATCTTGCGCTATTCTGTGATCAACGATATTAAGGAATATTGTGATAATGCTCCAAATTATTCTTAGGAACTGTTCGTTTTTCGACAGTAATTCTGATGCTTGATCTGATTTTTCCTGAAGATCGTCATATTTCTCATATCACAGTAGAGGCCGTTCCGATGACAATGTCTCTCGATCGCTTTTACGAGCGAGGTGCACCCCTCGGGAGGATATTCTCGCGATAATAGTTGAACAACCGTCGAGAAGAGATTGAGGAAGGAAAAATATGTTTTCCGTGGATCGTCGCGCTCTACAGATCGACGAATAATTCGGATCGCTTTTACAAGGTCGAGCGTGGTTTATCGGCGATAACACGTACGCAAACGGTCGACAGTGTTCTGCACAATTACTTCAGATACATGGGAATGAGATCAGTATTGAAGAAGAAAATAATTACGAGAAATCCGCGAACCAATCGCGTTTACAAACACAATTCGATTTGATAATGAAGAGGACTCCATATGCAAATCATTCCGATCCTATTTACGATGCAAACACGAAAGTATTATCCGCTGGAAAGAGTGATGTTTAACATAAGAATTTTTTATTAATTGGCACGATTCGAACAGCAAGGAACAAAGCAAAAGTTCGGTTGAATGAAAACGATCGGTGGAAAAAAGTGAGAACGGATGAACGATGTGTATAATCATGTGTTTGAGTATGCGCGAAAAATTGTTTCATCGATTATAAAGACCTAATAAAAATAAAGACTGAGAGAGAGAGAGAGAGTGAGAGAGAGAGAGAGAGAGAGAGAGAGAGAGAGAGAGAGAAGAGAGAGAGAGAGGGAAAGAGAGAGAGAGAGAGAGACTGGAAGGAAAGAGTGCGAAGACAGAAGGAAACCGAAAAATGCAAGCTGTGTCTAATCAACAACGATCGAGGGCGATTTGTGATTGGCGCGTCGTCGTCGAGAATGGAGGATAAATTTATCCGCGTCGCGAAGAGGAATGCGGCAGAAGCGTGGAGGAAAAGTAGCACGAGTACCGCGGAACGCCGCAGTCGCATTTCCGGTTTAAATTTAACGTGATGATACGCACACTTTCGCAATTAGCTGATATGGAGACCGTTGAATTTAACTGGAGGTTTGTGGGAAAGTAAAAGAGAATTAATTTTGTCGCCTGGTTTGCTTATGAAATCGACGTCTTCCATTTTTTTTTTTATTGCAATTGGCGTTTTGGTTAAGTCATTGCGAAATATTCCTGTGAACTCTAATTACAGCGGAGATTTTGTAAAACTAGATTTTGTAGACTAACAAGTCTTTCACTGGAAAAAATCTTGCACAAACTGGAAATCTGTTAGATTTATAATAATCAGTATGTTTATTGATAAATAACCAAATAAAATTTTTCTTGAAATTACCAGATAAGCATGATTAACTCCTGTTAAATATATAATATCAGAATTTCTCGATAACCTTTTTAAATTTATTTATTAAGTCATAATAAATATTTTTTTAGTGAAAGAACGTATAATAAATATAAATATTTTATAAATTTTACCGAAAATACTAACCGAATTCTTATTAGTTAAACTATCAAATGTTTTCGTTACAAAATATCGAATCTAATTATAATAATAAAAAATTATAATTGGTTTCATTAAACGTATATGTGTGCGTCTTGTTGGTATAATTAAAACATTTTCCTTAATGTCGCGTGCAGTTATGTAAAGGAAGACTGATTAAAATCTCTGCTATAATCAGTGTACGAAAATGAACTCTTACGGTAATTAAAACGCAAATTAGATGCTCTCATAATCAGTAGTAGCGATAAATAATATTCTATAATAGTTAATTCAATAAACACAAAATCTATAATTGTAACGTAAGATATTTTTAAGTCGTCTTTTAGACATTTTTAGATATACTTTTGTTCTGAATAATACTTGAATAATACATGCCGATAATACATATCGAACTGGATAATACATGCCGATAACCCCCCTCCTCTGCATCGCTCGTGCAATTTGTTCATTTTATTTATGCGCAAAATATTTATCACATTATTTTTATTATTTACCCGGCGCATAGCTATTATATTGGCAAATTGAACCAATTTGTCAGATATTTTTATGCATCCACGCACAACCAGGTTATTGAATTTTCGCATCGTGGGAATACATCACGCATTAATAGAAGCACGATCAGTTATGCGTGATGCGAAATTTGTTCATGACGGTTAACTTCGTAACTACGTAATTGCGATTAAAGTGTAATGCCCTTTTAATAACATCTCGTTACGTATGATGATGCGTAACAACGTACCGATGAATACTTTCCAATATGCCGTATGCGCATATTGCCACTCTACGAAAGTAAATTCATCATTTAATAATCCAGTAACGTTACGCGAATAAATGAGTCATGGTATTACGCTGATCTATAGAAGCTCGTGATTCATACCTTCACGTTTTACCTTCCCTAAGTAACAATTACCGGGCGCGCTTTACATAAAGATACGACGACTGTGTAGCTCCTATTCTAATTAATAACAAACAGTTATCTCTCGTTCTTTATACATATAATATGTAATTACAGTTTTTTTCATTTATTCTCTTTTAGCAGGTAATACAACTATTGCATTAACAGTAACATATTGTTCAACAACAGTATGACTAACTTTAAAAGATTGTATGACAAATTGTAAAAGTACACGACGTTATCACATCTATATAATACATTAATAAGATATATTTATTATCTGGAAAAGCTTACAATTCTCTCTTCGTAGAAACGGTCCTTTTACGAAAACTTTGCTTTTATTGTTTACGTAACGGAATGCTACATTTTTAACATTGAAAAATTGATTTGTTTCATACATATTTAAATCTAAGGTGAAATGTACCAGATTTTTAATTTATATATGTACAATCTGATTTTTTTCCAAAGTACACACAAGATCTTGAAGGCAAAATTACTAAATACAAATTGCTATATAAGTTTTACGTTGAGATAAGTTCGTTTTATAATAATTTCTCTTTAATGTTAAAGTGTTGATATCTTTTTTGTTTACGATCTTATATTTTATTACGCTTCAACTTTATATGATACAAAAAGTACATTTTATGAATGTTCTTTTATCCTTTTCAATACCTTCTAAGTATCTCGAGTAATTCTTTCCCAAGATTCTGTGAGTATATTAAAAAAAAAAGCTGATTGTGTACATTAGAAATCTAGTAGATTTGGCCAATATCCGTTTATGTCCGTTAGAAACGAACAAATCAAAATTTGTCTAGAAATTATCGTATAAATATATAATTAATTTCTTTTTATCGAACAGAATTTATTAGTAATACGAAATTTATTTACAATTAGGTTAACATAACTTTTTAATAAAAAAAAAAACATCTATTGAGTATAACTACAGAAGTTTTGTAGATAAATAAGTTGAATGACACGGAAGCATTACCGGATTCATATCTAAACATCTTACAGTCTTTTTCTCCCTCCTAATTCCTTTTTCTTCCCATCTCTTATTTCATCCTTTCCAATATTATCCTTTCCTCAGTTTATCTCCTAAATATTGCTATTTTTTATAACATAATTTTTATAGTAGTCAGTGGCATGTAGTCGTTTTATCGCAATTTGCTTCAATCTCTAAGCACAATTTTATTTTGACTAATTTTATATTCTGACTATAATTGCATATTATAAGTATATACGACAACCAGAGATACTTATTTTATATTTATACAAATTACACTTCACCAATTTGCTTTAATTATATCTCTGTACATTAACAGACATATATCTATTGATATATACTGATGTATACTAATGTATAGGACCTACAATTTAACGCCGAATCCAAACGGCGCTGATGATCATAGATCTTTTGATCACCAGGTGGAGCCATTTTTTGGCTCATTAAACGCGAAAAATCGCGTTTGGGCGCACGTGGGATTGAACTCGGGTCTACGGATCGCGAGTCAATCGCACCGAGCGGTGAGCCACTCGACGCCACCTTTCTCAACATATTTTTATTTAATTTTATAGATTCGATCAAAAATGCTAATCAAGTTTTTATAATTAAGTCTGTCAAACATTCTAGCTATAAAATATTAAGTCTAATCATGATATCTAAAAATTTTGCATCATCTCATTAAAATGCATCTTACCGTATAATTAAAACGTTCTTTTCGGTGTAAAAAAAAAGATTGAACACGCACACACGCATGCACCCACGCACGCACGCACACACAGAGTCCAGAGAAAATATATTTCTAATTCAATTCTGAAAATGTTCTAATTCATCCTGAAAAGAAAATGTTTAGGAAGTCAGGGAATTGTTTTTCAAGTTTAAATCCTGATTAAATTTTGTGGTCGAAAATGACCGATTGTTAATTAATTAATAGCGGATTAGATTGGACACATTCAGTGCTCACTTGCATATTAAAGCCATCGCCAACACATATTAAAGATATGTTTGATATAAATATAAAAACAGATTAAACCATTAAATTCTCAATATACGTCTTATCTCAAACAGATCTTTAAAATTCTTTTATTATGCTGTTAAGTAAAAAATCTATTTTATGATTTGAAATATTTATATTTTTTTGACTTTAACACTCAAATTAAATCAACATGCACCAATGCACACTAATGCGTCAAATTGAATTCGCTATAAATTTGCGCAGCTATGGGTAGTACAATTCATTATTCTTCGTGCGCGTTTATTATTGAAAAAAGATAGAAAATCAAACGAACGTTTACGTCTTGCATTCTTTACATGAGAGCGTCATGTGCGTTGTTATATCTGCTTACAGAGTATATGATGTCGGAAGGTGGACTGGCACCTAGTATCAGCCTCTCGTTCTACATACTATTCAAAAGATTCACGTATTAACTGCTAGTCGCACCCGCGTGTATGTGTTGAGTCTCCACAAATTACAGGGTGTACTGCACTGTAACCCCATGACGCATTTAATTCATGGCCCGCCTGGAGAGTAAGTGTATCTTTCACGAATTCTCGATATTTTCGCAGAATTTTTTGCCTCGTTTTATAATATTTTCGCAATGACAGGATCGGCAAAGCGATTTATCGTACATACATATGTACACACGGCCATCTATTATATGTATATAGGGGAAAGACGATCGGGATTGCATCGAAAAAGAGAAATCTCATTGTCCATTAATGCTGTAGATTCATATATTTTGCTGTAAAAATATCACGCCTGTAGAAATATCATATCGATTATTGCTCGATTAAATGCGCTTGAATGATAATCATTAGTTATTTATTTCGTACATTTTTATTTGAAACGTTAATATAAAGAATTATTAAAGAAAGTGTGAAGAAACAATAAAATAATAATATAATATAATAAAGTATAATAAAACATACAACTTAATTTGCTACAACAATATAGGTCAAAAATTATAATGCATCGAATGTTTCACTGCAAATTTTTCAATTGATTTAAAATTGATACTTCTTCAACAAAAATGACTAAGCAAGCATATATAATACAATATATATAGTCTTAGAATCAATGATTGAGCTTGGCAACTAAGATGTAAATGACACAATTATATTCTTAAATTAGTTTTGTAATGTATTCTTTCGTAATGGAATTTTAATTTAAAGCTTTTAGTCGCGCTAATATGTATGTATCATCTTAAAAAGAAAAGATTGGAAAATCACATCTAGCGATAACTTGACGTTTTTGTTGAGACAAAATCGGTTTTAAATCGGCCGATAAAACCGGGACATTCTGCATAAATCTTAACTGAATAGGAGAACAATGTAATTATGTACATTTATTATTGCAGTACCGAGCATAGTGGTATATAAAAGAAGCAGGTCGCAAGATCGACCTGAAAGTCCTACAGTGGTGGTGCGAGGAGGAATGCCCTCACTGCCGTCCTCCAAGCAAGGCCTCGCCATAAGTGGCTGCGGTGGTGCGCCTCATCAGGACGCCTCGGAGTCAGATATGATAGACGGGAATGCCAACCCTAACGTAGGCACATCCCCCATACCGAACTCGCTCCACCGTCCCGCTTCCTCCTGTTCGCCATCCGACAAATCGGACACTGAAAGCAAGAACTTTCGCAATCGGGTATGTGTTCCATTAATTACTGTCTAAAGTATTATTCTCCTTTCTCATTAGAAACTTTTAAGTTCAATATTTCAAAGAAATCACTAAAGGGGGCACCTGGTTCAACAGGCCAAAAAATAGGAGATTTTTCGTAATTTTTTAAAAAAGAAATAATAATGTTTATCGTTTTGAAACTTCTTGCACGTTTTAATATTATTTTTTTAAAATGTAATGAAATTTTTTGTATAAAAATATCGTTAATAATAAAAAAATTAACAGTGAAGTTTGCGCCTCGCCATCGACGTCATCATTCTGTGTACATTCTGACGATTTTAATTCTTGTCTGTATGAAACAAAAAATCTAGAAATATTTTTAATTTTTATTTAATTTATCCTAAATGAAACAAAAAAATTAAAAAAAAATAAATTAAAATTTTCTGTAGCTCTCTTTGAAAAAAGTTATGATTTTCACTAGATTGTGAAAATTTCTTTATGCAAAACAAATTGTTAATGTTTATTTTTTTTTAATCTTTTAAGTATTTAGGTTAATCGAGGAAGGTTAACCATTATCTAAAATTAATGGGCCTTATATAAAGTCAAATACTTTTTTTGTAATCGTGTATATAAAATTGAAGAAAATACCAAAAACAGATTTCGAGAGGAACGCGTTTAAAGTTTTTAATGTAAAAATATAGTAGTTTTTGAATACTTATAGTAATCGGAGGCTAATCCTCTCTTCGATAAACATTCAACAGCCTATTTTCTCATTAACTTTATTTCGGGCAATTTGGGCCAGCCTACGAGATGCTGGGGCCTCTCTCTCTAAGTCGTTGGCACTTCTTACATGTTTGCTGCTGTGCGTCATACATAGTACTTGTATTCCAATCTAATATTAATTTCCAATTTATTCATGATTAAAACGGTAGAATATTTTTTGTTGAAAACGCCAATGAGATAACAAAAGCAGCGATTTCGAGTATTTTATAAAGATTTTTTGGCGTCATTGTTCGGATGGTCGAATTAAAAACTTTTGTTTATGTTTTGGATATATCGATCTAGACATTGCGTTAACAAATCATTTGATTTATAAATTAGTGTAAATAGGAATCAAATATTTCTGGATATTCCGATAGCTTCTGTCGCATACCTACATATATACTTGCGCGCCGCACTTCTTTTACTGAAGTAATCTACTGCAGTATTTCGAACTTTCTTCTAAAATTTTACGAACATGTTCTCAAAGAGTTGTAGTATTAATTTATGAAAAAAAACTGTATTTTTTTACCTTATAAATTACACGCCTTTCTTAAATCAGCAATAGATTTATAGACACATATGTATACACTAAGAGAAAACAAATATATAATAATTGTGACAACATAAATAGGGCAACATGTAAAGTATAATATCTGTAACTAGTTTTATACAGAGTAATAGCAACTATTACGGTATTCAGTACTGTAAAAATATGATTATAGTAATAATATTTGTATACTATTAATCGATAGTGAAATAGCGACTCAATTATATTAAATAGTTATTTGGATGTCATCAGATAAAGAAATAACAATTGTATTTTTCTAAATTAGACTAATTAAAAATATTTTTAAAAATAAAATATAATATCATAATAACTAATTAATCGTTGAAATAAAAATATATATTCAAAAGCTCTTCACTAAAGTTGCTCATCCACGTGCAGTACGCAACACTACCACCAGAAGGATGCAACGGAATTCAATTTCTCCTAAGAAGAAAACCTCTCAGCATATAATAAAAGGCGCAGCATTGGGTTTGAACTTCGAAAACGAAAGTAAATGAGAAATATCTATATCTCGACAGTACAGTACAACAGTTTAGTACTGTACAAAAATTCAGTAACTTTACTACTGGAAAAGTTATATACAAGGTGTCCTATTTTAACCAACGCATTTGAATTTCTCCGGAATTATGTAAGATGTCGAAGTCCTGTTTTTACGGTGGTATCGAGGGGAACATATTTATAAAAATGAAGTTAATCTTCATTTAAACTTAATGCTTCCATCCAAAGTCAAATCTTGTTAATTAAAATATGTTCTCCTTGATATTACATAATATCGTAAAAACAGAATTTTGATATTTTGTATAGTTCTGGTGAAATTTAAGTTTATTGATTAAAATGTATTACCCTGTGTATATATATATATATATATATAT